TTCATTATGGGACAAAGAATGAAATTGCCTATTTAGAAGTCGAATTTTAAAAAAAAGTAGCTCGTAACGGTTATTCTAGACATCTTTTGAAAAATTTACAAAAGGAAACCCCTGTAGCTCAAAAATTGAGTACACTGTGCTATTTTTCTTCATTTTCAAGGTCTTGGGGGCAAATAAACAATAAATAATCGTTTTTTTTCCCACTTATTCTTCGTCTTTCAACATATATAAATAATCAATCATCAATGTGTGATAAATCTTACTGCAATATCTCGCGATTTTTAAACTCATCGTAACCTCCCCTCGATGAAATTTGGTCATTGTCATCTGAGAATGATAATGATAATGATAATGAGAACGATAATGAGAATGATAATTAATGATATGAAATTCCCCAACAAAATAACCAACCAAAAGTACTGGAATCAAGTCATAAAAGTACTCGCGAGAAGTAGAAAAATTACTTGCTCCAAGCATTAAAAGTACTTGTGAGAAGTAAGAAAAATGCTGACAGGAAGTAATAAAAGTACTTCCTCCTAGTACTTTTCCTACTTGCTTAGCAAATATTGTACTTCACCCAAGGACATGAAAAGTACTTGGGACAAGTAGTTTCCCAACTTTTCACAAGAAAACTTCTCCCAAGTAGAATTCAGTACTGGTGAGTAGTAACTTTTTTTTAGAGTGTAGATAGAAATTATTTTTATCCAATCCTGGGATAAAATGTTCACCTAAGGACAACCAATCAAGTATATTTTTTCAATGTTGAAATACAATAAGATGCGATTAGTCAATTGGCAATTTTTAACATTATGTTTTCATTGATCCAACTTAATGTTAATTATTCACTGTTTATCCACTATTATTCACTATTTACTTTAATTATTCATTCCATTATGTGTTTATTTATTCTTTATTTAATCAAATTGGGGATACGAATCTTTTTAATTAATCGATTGCAATTAATATAATGAGACGAAAGTTGTTTTTGCGCCCGCGTTGTGGAAAAGAAGGGGTTTACGCACTGTAAACCGCCCGAAACTTGAACTTTTCACGCAGGTATTGCTGAAATTTCAAAAAAATTCTTTTTTTTTTCAATTTGATTTTGGGAGGCTTCCAAAAATCATGAGAAATCACCAATTTTATAATTGTGATACCTGCAATTTTTGACATTACATCTTCATTGACTTAATTTAACTTATTATTTATTAAATTGTTTAGTCTTATTTATTTCATTACGCATTTATTAATTTCTTTATTTAATGGATTTTGGATTTCACATCTCCTTACTGAACTTTTCAGGCGAGTATTGCTAAAATTTGTTTATTTCATGTCGTCAAAGCTAATGCACCTAATTTTTCTTAGTCATCGAAAATGTGGATTTCCTGTGTTCCCTCATCAGTCTAAAAAGCGACGGAATTTCCATCGAACCTGAAAAATTCGACTTCTGAAAAGTAGATAAATATCCTCAATGAGAACCTTCCCCCTCCCATTATCCCCTAAAATCAATCAGTATTGGCAGATACCTCTAGCTTGAATCAAATTTGGCACAGTTCAATTCCATTCACCTCTTCTCACACACACCTCCATAGACTCTCATGCTCCGATTCTAAAATCGTCGAGGGTATTGTACACTCCAAATTGGTACATCTCTGATATGAAACTTGCGGGACACCATTGTCTCCCATTCACGGTGCAACCAGTTCTTGCAGGAATAATAATAAAAAAAATATGAAGGGAGGAAGAAAAATGTACGTGAAAAAAGGGTGTTGATTTCTTCGAGTCTCATCGATAATCGATATGACAGAAATAGAAATGAAAATGAACTGGGGTGAATGGGCGGATTGTCTAGGCTCATGGTCATATATTTTTCATTGTATTCCGGATAAGAAATACGGATAAAGGAAAAAAGAAGTATAAGATTAAATTTCCTCGGAATTAAGATCACGTGTATAAATATATTGTTGTAAATCTGAGAAAAGAATTGACTAATTTTCATTTACATCGCATTTTCATCGCTAGTGCGTAAAGGAAAATTTTACGCACGCTCCGTGTTTTCTCACATTGCGATGAAAAATACTAATTACGGCACGCCGTGCAATAAGTCGAGTTTATCGCACGCTGCGCTTCGCGTACCTCGTTTTCAACGAATGTGAATACACACCTCGCCTTCGGCTCGGCCTGTAAACTTCACATTCGTCGAAATAGTTATTTTCATCACAAGGTCCACAAAGTATTTTCTGACGAATGTGGCTTTGTAGGGCGAGCCGAAGGCGAGGCCTATAATCACATTCGTCAGAAAATACTTTTGGACCGTGTGATGAATGCAATTTTTCGTCAGAAGGCCCGTAAACCGCGATCAAACCGAGCGAAGCGAGGTTAGAATCGCGCTTTACCGGGTCTTCTCACGAAAACGAAATTTGTGCCCTTGTACTCTAATGTACTAATATACTATTGTACTATTTATTAAAAATTAATGTAATAAATTGTGTTCTTTGTAAATCATCAATTAGACATGAAAATTTACAAAGCAATCTGTAACTTCAATTTTGGAATTGACAATTGAATGAATAATAATAATAAAATTTTGTGAACGAAGAAAAGAAAAGGAGGAACATGAACAATTAAATTTCCTAGTAATTGCAATCACATCTAGGAATATATCCCTGTAAATCTGAGGAAACGTCCAATGTCTGTCTACAAACGTAAACTACTAGATAAAGAAAATGCAAAGAAGTGGGAGTACGTCAATGGGGTGGGGTAGAGTGTCCTAGACCCTTCGAACGCACGCGACGCTTATTGATCTGAGTGAAATGCAGAGGGAAGGAGGATAGCTCGAAAACTAGGCGCCAGACATCCTACCCTTCTTCATTCGAATGTCTTCCACCGTCTCGGCAGCTGTTACATCCAGAGTGCCAGCTTTTGGAGATGACACGAGTCAGAGATAGAACGAATAGGTTTTCCCTTCCCGAACTGTTGATAAAAGCTGCATTCAGTGATTTACCCCAATGTTTTCATCGCCCAGCAACGAATTAATTGTTGATGACACATTGTTAGTGATGATGTGTTGATAAACGACACAGCAACGGAAATACTCATATCCAGGGGCACAAAGAAAACGGAAAATTGAGACACCTGACACCAGTCTGCGACAGCAAATTGATGAGGCTTGGACGAGTTGGGTAAACTCCGACAACTCCACTCGGATTTTTTTTATTTTCATTTTCATCTGGTTTCCGTCACCAAGTATGATGGATAGGCCAGTTCAGACGGACCAGTGACCTTCATCCCCTCCCTGTTCGATAAATCAAAACTCCGGAATTTGTCACGTTGATGTATCAGATTGTGGTGTGAAGAAAAACGAGGGGGTGGGGCAAAATAGACACACTTCATTCTTTTTTTTCAATGTTCATAATTCAGAAACGTATTGATCAATTGAGTTCGGTCTAGGCTCATTATGAAGGGGGAGAATTGTAGTTTCTGTAGGAAAGAATTCATTTCATCACACGGAGAGAAATGTTCAGTAAAATTATGGAACTCACAATTCGCTCACCGATTACGGAATCGACTCAGAAAATTTAAGTGACGGTATTGTAATTTTTCACAGGAGATTCAGGTAAAAATTACGGAACGCTCTGAAAAAATTCCGTGACAGTTGCGTAAAATTACCTACAACCACATTTCGCTCCGGAATATTTCTCTCTGTACAGAAACTCAATACTGAGAGAACAACGGACAAGTTCTCAAAGAAGTCTTGTTTGGACGAAAAAAATGGCAAGTTGAAAATTGCCAAAAAAGAAATTGTTTGATCTGAATTTATAAGTCTCAAACATGAATAATCGCTTTGCTCTTATAAAGAGACTTTCAATAAGAAATAAATATCATTACCATTTTATTTAAAAATTCATTTCAGTAGCCCAGCGGTAAAACTATTTAAGTCGACATAATAGCTCTCAACTGAGTTTTCGAGGAATATCTCTAAATCTAAAGAAGATAGAAAAATTCTTATGAGACCTTTTTTGGTAGCTTGTCATTCGGTCCACAAAAAAGCTCATGAGAAAAATTTTGCTATTTGCCTTAAATTTCGAGATATTCATTGAAAACTGACCAATAGTCTAATCGAGTTCAATCGATTTATCTGTACCACTTATTCTATTGAGATATTGTCTATAGAATTTTCTCGGCTCAAATTTTCAAGTTTTTTTCATTCTATTTTTCTTTTCTTTTCATCAAGAAAATCAAAGAAAAAATTCAGAAAATTTGAGCCGAGGAAAAAGTCGAATTCTATCGACTATTTCTATAGAATCTTTTCTATTGAACATTTCAATAGAATCGGCCACAAACTAATATAAAGTTCAACAGAAATTCAATAGAATTGTCAAGTGAATTCGCTAGGTTTTTCTATTAAATTTTTTCGTGCGTGTGCATAAAGTTCACTAAACATTCATTTTTCGGCATATATAATCGATCTTCAATGTATGAGAATTCTGACTCCACTCGCCTGCGACATTTAAAACTCATATCACAAAAAATAGGATGTGTTACGCGTGCGTACGAAAAAATGAAACTTTACGCGCTAGTAACACAATATACTATTCTTGCTTGCACAGGGAATGACAATTTTGTGGAATGAAGGCAGTCTTCAAATGGTCAGCATTTTTGGTAATTTTCAACTTACGATTTTTGTTGTTGTAATAAGACTTACTTGAGTATAAGACTTATTTAATAGTTTATTTCGATACGAGTGCGTAAATGTGTTTTTTGACACATGTGAGGTGTGTACCTTTCCAAGAGTCAAAGAACACTTTTCCCACGAGTGTCGACCACTATTTTTCATCATAATATGCACGCTCCGCGTGCGTAAAATTTCACTTTACGCACAAGTGATAAAAAATACTCTTTTTTGTCTCACTGCAAGAGTAATTGAGATTTTAGAAAGAGTCATGAATATTCATTTTGCCCCACTCGCCCCAGAAGAAATTAGAAAGGTATTTTTTTTCGTTCTACGACGGAATGACAACTTTATTAGGATATTTTCCGTAGACCCGACCACTCCTGGTGACCCTGTAGTGCACCTGCTGAGTGGTTTGCAGTACATCATCGCAATTTGAAACGTGTGGGCCATCCCCCGTGTAGAGTCTTTTCATTCTTGCTCGGACACCAGTCATGTGTTTCGGATGGAGTATCATCGTGAGTTTCTCCTCACCAACTTGATCCCTAGACGGTGATGTTGTTATTAACTGGGCATTGTGTGACAGTTTGTGTCGTTTGAGAAGTCGTAACGGCGAAATTGCTAGGATTGCACGGAGTATTCGCCGACGGCAGCCCCAGATTAATACGGCCGTTGCTAGCCAAGCGAACCAGGGACTTGCCCGGGGGCTCTGTGACGGTTCTCTCGACCACAGAAACAACATCTGGGGGGAATAAAAATTATCATCTGCTGTGACTGCATCGGGACATTTTCATTGAATTATTTTACTCGTGAATGTTGATGAATAATGGAGGGAACGAATGAGCAAAATGGTGAAAATGAACCGAAGTTATTTGATACTTCAAACTTAATGATTGTAAGCAACGAACTAGTTGATTTCAGTAGCGAAGTGGTAAAACGGTTTAAATCGACTCATCTCCCAGTTGAGTTTTTGAGGAATATTTCAGAATCTAAGGGAGATAGCGAAATTTTCGTAATCACATTTATTGTAGCTCTCCATCGGCTCTACAAAAAAGGTTATAACAACAATTTCGCTATCTCCCTCAGATTCCGAGAGATTCATTGAAAACTGGTCAATAGTCAAAAATGACTTGTACCGTTTTACCACTCCGCCACTGATTTTAATTAAATAAATGAGTTTAGTTGAATAATTTGTAGCAGAACTGTTCAATCTTGAAGTTGATGCGTCAATGTAATGGTTTTTCATAAACAAAGAAATGTTTCCTGGACCCAAATGACGACTTTATTATGCACTGTTAATAATTTATGGCTAAAATTGAGGGTAAGATTTTTGAAAATTTTGATTACATTCTGGTTTCATTGAAATCTCAAAGAATTTTGCCGTAGACAACACCAAAGTTCATGGGGAAATAGATGGAAACTGGAAATCCCAGTTCAATTAGTCCAAGAAAATTATTAATACGAAATTGAAAAATTTCTGGGAAATCTTCTCTTAAATTATCAATTAGCTGAAATTCAGAGTCATTTGGTATTGAATACACGGAGAGAAATATTGAGTAAAAATTGCGGAACTCACAATTGGCTCACCGATTATGGAATCGACTCAGAAAATTTAAGTGACGGTATCGTAATTTTTCACAGGAGATTCAGGTTAACATTACGGAACGCTCTGAAAAAATTCCGTGACAGTTCCGTAAAATTTCCTACAACCACATTTCGCTCCAGAATGACGGAAAAGATACGTAATTTTTATTGAATATTTCCCTCCGTGGACAAAAGAAAATGGAAAATTTAGGATTCGATGAGTGTTTTTATTCCATTCGGAAGCAAAAATGTGTTAACGTAGAATTTTGTCAACAAAAGAATGTTTAAAACATCGACAAATGCCCCAATACACTACCAATACATATAGTGGAATCCATAGTGCCACAATCGATCGATCTTTCAGCGAAGTACCCCCCTATCATTGACAACACCCACGCGCAACCGAGTGTAGCCTTCGTACTCGTGAAACTCGAGTGGTTTTCCTAGCACAACTGATACACTAAACCTTGGGGGTTTTGTATGAAATACTGACCTTATATATCCAATCGCTGGCGCTCTGCCTGAAACTGAAGGGTCGATCAACAATACGAAACATAGAATGGCCGTGATTGCAATCGCTCGTGAAATTTGAAAATATTTTTCTTTCATCAGGCATAAAAGAGAGATCTTCTGGTTTATTCAGGTTCCATTAAACATCTCAAGCCTGAAAAATAATGTTTTTCAGGGGTTGAAGTATTGGTCGATGGGAGTTTGTGTTTGTGAACATTACTGAGAGACTCCAGAGGATTTTCATTCGTTGGCAATGCACCAGTGTGACCTTGACCCGATACTTCCAATTTCGTTATCGTTTTTTTTACTCCTGCTATTGAGTGATGATATTCATCGGGCTGTGTGACAAATCCTTCGAGGAATTCAGATCGCCTGAACTAATTTTTCACCAGTCAAATTCAGGGAATTCGAGGGCTATATTTTAACTGTGATTTACGGGTGAATAATGTACAGGTGAAAATGAAAATGGATGATTGAGAAAAATAATGTCTGATGCTGAGGAATTTAGACAAAGGATTGACGTGAATGACAGTTAATGAACTAAAGTTATCTACGGAATAATGAATAACGATCAACTTCAGGGTGAATCGTACGCGGAGAAAATAATTAGTGAAAAATCATGGATGAATAAATTTGAGAGAATTTCTTTTGGAATGGTATGAGAATTCTATCAGAGTTGTGTTGAAACTATTAGTTTTTTAATAACACCTATTCTATTGAAAATTATGCAATTTTATCGTGTCATTTTTTGGAGAAATATTTGATAGAAAAAAAGCCCATGGTTTTTTATTCTTCTGTAAGCTTTTGCCACGATATTTTTATCTGTTTTTCAGAATAAAATGTGAGAAAAAATTTATTGAAGAATTTGTATTGAATAACACATGCCATAATTGCATAATTTTCTATAGAAGTGGCGCAAAAAATTGAAATTCTTAGAGAGTTTTAATAGAAGTTCAATAGAATTTCTGGGAAAAATCGCTACAGGATTTCTTATTAGCACACACGAAAAGAATTTATAGAAAAACCTAGCGAATTTGGTAGAGAATTTTATTGGGTTGCTGTTGAGTTCTATTGGAAATTCTATTAGTTTCCGGCCGATTCTATTGAAGAATCTCGCGGCATTACAGCGTGCTTTTATTTCATCTCTCATTTGCGTTTAATCTAGTAAAATTGATGTGGACAATTCAAATTTGAGCTTCCCTAGAAGAATTGTATTCCAGAAATATCAAGAAGGTGTTTCACACCTCGTATTTTTCCATTTTCATGTCTACTTAACTCTAAATTTCAATGTTTCAAAATTATATTCATTGAACAAAAGTATTTGTGTCTTTAAATGGTTAATTTAACAATCAACAGTGACTAGATTAGGTAGTTTACATAAATTTGTTCATTTCATAAAAGGAACTACAGTTCGATACATCTCGTACGTTAATCTAGATTGATATTCGCATTCAAAGAATTAATATTTTGAGAAAATTATTTACTAGCCTACTGTCTGCATATCACTTATCAATTGATTCGATGTGTCTAGTTTATTCTCTAGATTTAATTTGAGAAGTAGCAGTCGAGGGTCCACGATCTCCCACTTATCCACGGTAGAAATTACCTTGAATCCACGCCCGAGTCGAATAATTGGACCTGACAAATTCTACTTAGGTCTCTCCGTTCAGAACTGGATAGGTCTTGGGAAGCCTCTTCCCAAGTGCTTCCGAGACCTTTCTACCTCTGGTTATGTCCCACTTCAGCACTTGTTAGGTGTAAGCAGGACTTGCATTCAGACTTTCCAAATCCTTGCCGGTCCCCGTAATTCTATGGGCCTATATTAAATCTGCGTTCATATCCCTATTTACTCAT